AAGTTAGGGTTTGCATGAGTAATAGTCTCATATATATAATGCACGTACCTTGAGGTGATCTAGGTTTGCCTTGGGCCTTTGGGCTTGAGATAAGATATATCATGATATGATATGATATAATTGAAGGGCGGATCTGGTCTGGGACGAGATCCTCGGAATCAGGTATGATTCGCTCAAATGTCGGGCTGACTTCATGCACCGCGTGCCCGGGGTTACTTGTTTGCAACACTAATCCGGGCTAGGAGCCCGGGTGCGAAGTACGGTTAGTACATATATATTAAACGTACAAATTTTTAAATGAATATATTTACAAAATTTAATACTTATATATTAGAATTTATTATTGTGTTATATTAAATATATGTTAAATATAAATAAATATTTTATTATTTTGTTTTGCACACACACTTTTAATTTTTAAACATATTTTAAATTAAAGTATGAAGTGAATAAATAATAAGATAGTAAATAATTTAATCATTAAGATTAACTTAGTGATTGAATAAAAAGATATTAAAATAATTAGAAATATGAGGATCACGATTCAATTTTTATTGAGATCATCTTTATAAATTTTTTTTATCTTTACAAAAGAAAAAAATAATAAATATTTTTTAAAAAATATCTTCTTTTTTTTTATAAGCAAAAAACGTAATATTAAAAAAGAGAGCACAAATGGTACTCCAACTTATATACAAAGTTAAGGCAACTGTTAAATACATATCAATGACTCATTTAACCAATTTATGTATACTAGTTGTCCTTCATTCAAACCCGCTGGCAACCATTTCCATGACCTATATTTGATAGCATCTATAATCTCTCCAACATTTACTAACACATTGTTAAAGACAATGTTATTTCTATGTAACCAAATACCCCATATCACACCTACTCAGATAGTTACTACATACCTCCACTTCTTTTTCCCACCCACAAAACCACACATATCCAATAAGAGATCCTCTAAACACTTTGACATACATGAAGAGAGACCCAACCAATACCAAATCGAATACCATATACCGCTCGAAATAGAACAATGCAAGAATAAGTGTTTCACCTCTTAGTCTTCATGATTACATAGGGCACAAGATTCATTTAAGAATAACATACCACGTTTCACAAACCCCTTACGTACCGACAAAACTTGTAATAATAATTGTCAAGAGAACACACTGACCTTTTTGAGAACCAGTACCTTCCACATGACGCAATGCCAAAACCACACCATTATTAACAGCAAAGCTTTTTTAAAAAATATCTTATAATTAACATAAACAATTTTTAATTAAACTTTCCTTATCTTTCCACTATTTAAACCCATTACCCAAACCGGAACCGTTACCATAACCAAACAAAACAAAACAAAACGGTATCCATCATCAGATATTACTTCGCAGCAAATCAAGAAACCCAACCCTTAGACGTGTCAACCACCTCCACGACCATTTCTTATCGTTAACATATACTTCCATTTCTTTTTTCTTCTATCAAAGTGAGATAATTATTGATTTTGTGTCGTATCTTTTGTAGGAACAAGAAAAAAAGCATGGCCAAACAAGGCCTTAAGAAGGTATATGTTAACGATGAGTAATGTATTCTTACATGCTTCAAATAATCAGGTCACCTTTTAATTAGTGATTTAATTATCTTAATTGCTTGCTAGTTGCCACAGTATCAGAATTTCTTCAGCTTTGGTGCAGTGCTTTTATTTTCTATCAGATTGTGAAGTTATAGGAATTGAACTATAGCAAACATATGAATATGATTACAAGATCCTGCATTAATTCACCATCCAATGATCCAATATTTATTAAGCTTATACTTTATTTAATTTGTTAATTAATGTATGAAAATAGAATTAACTGTAGGAACTTTCTTTGCATCCTCTCTCAAAATTTCTCTAGTACTAATATATATCATGCGGAGAATTAATGTTCCATGCCATATTATCAAAAGATCATACAGTAGCCAATACACAACCAACATAACGATTCATCATAACAAAAGTGATAGATGCACCAAATCTAATTCATAATTAACACTCTCACACAACAGCTCCTTCTTTGTGCATGTTGCTCTACACCATTCATTCCCTTGAACTCATAATCAACTATTGCGCTTGACATCACTTTCAGGGACACTGGTATCATGCTTATTATATCCCTCTTCTGAAGTAGTAGGTTGTGACCCCGAGGGCTGCCACAGCATATCAAGTTGTGTTATCAACTTCTCTTGTGTTTGAAAGAGTTTATATTCAACCAGAGACCAAACATGAGCCAAGTCACCAAACACATGCTTTTCTAAGTTTCTCATCAATATTTATCTATCTCTCTGACAGTGTCAAATGACATTGTAAAAAATCTTCTACTTGTCAACTGATTAAAATTTAGTTTGATATGGTTTCTCATGCAGTTATTCAAAAATTCAACAACTTTTAATTATATGGTAATTTATAATGAAATTAATGCGGGAAATATTTAATTAAATTCTATGCTATCTCTCACTTATCATATAAAAAAATCTAACTATCCCTCAACTCTGCTAATTATGAGTAATAAATATCAAAACAAGACAAACTTACAGTTTCATCCGGAACAATTGCATATCTCTCTGATATAGAGGACGAAGATTTCCCTTTTTAAGGCAAAAAAACAGAACATCCAGAACCAGGCATGTTGAATTAATTTAAGGGGAAAAAAACTGATTCTAAATTACAAATCAAATGGTATACACCAGTAAGAAAAGGAAAACATAAAAAATGAACCAATTAATAAGAGCACCTGATAATGGATAAGGTTTTGAGGATTCTATGTGCTGCCTCGAAGATCCATCAACACTGAAGGCTTCAATAATCGTTGGAACATTCCTATAAATCCCAAAAGGATCACATTATTATTGAAGCCTTGAAATGCATCCATTACATAAGACTAATTTTAATTAGGGTAGCAATTCTAGAAATTCATAAGTTAATTTATAGAATTTTTTTTATAGAAAAAATATTTTTAACTTATTTATAAGTTAATTTTAATTCATGTAAAAATTTCTTTTATTTTTTTTTTAAATTTTTTTTCCCAAAAGTATTTTATGGAAAAATTTATCCCAAAACACGCCTAAATATAATTTGCGAATGCAATTACCGGTCTATGGTTATTCCATTCCCAAGTTGTCCATTTGCTCCTCTTCCCCATGAATATACATTATCACGTTCAGTAATAGCAATGGTGTGTCTCCACCCGCATGAGATCTGACGTACTTTCTACAAAGCCAAATAAATGTTTGGAGAAATAAAAAAATTAAAATAAGGGGTCATTTTTATATATAGAAGAAAAGGAAAGAAAGGGTGTTAATTACAGTTTCAAATACCTGATCACGGGGAAAGTTCACTTGCACGGGAGAGCAATAATCTAAATTGTTACCTACTCCAATCTGTCCGAACTACATACAATTGAAGGATAAACACGTTAAAATTCATCAAACAGATGCAAGTATCAAAGCAACGTAATCATTGAGCTGATTAATATCCACTGGAAACCATAAACATACATAAAGTATAAAGTGAGTATTTTCTTCTCGATCTAATCTATACTCAGCTCCATGATTCTAGGATTTCATTCTTGAACAACTTAAAAAAACATAAACGGCTAGTTGCTGCTCATAAGCATTTGATGTTATATTATGATTATGATACAAAAAAAATTGATGACAATAGAAGAATAATAAAAAGTACTACCAACCTTATTCCAACCCCAGCCCAAAAGTTGTCCACTAGATGTGAGTACCATACTATGCCTCCACCCACCTGATACCTGAAACAAGTCCAGACAAAAGTAAGAGATAAATATGACAACTATAACCACTATACTTTGTACCCAAGCACATCACATCCTGTTTTCATGTCTTAGAGCGTAGGACAAGATTCTGTGACACCAAGTTTTGTTATCTTAATTAATTAGGATAAAACTTAAATTTAAGTGTTTTTGGTACTGTTTTTTTAAGTGAATTTGTTTCTAAAAGTAAAAAGTGAATCATACAGACCCTAGTTGTCAATGTCATCAACTAATTAAGCATGAATTTTAAAGAGCACCTGCGAAATGAACTTATCACTCAAGGCTTGAACCTTGCGTGGCACAAGATGATCCTCAAAATCTCCATGCCCTAGCTGGCCATATTTGCCCCATCCATTTGTGTATAATCCACCAGAAGATGAAACACATATCGTATGCCTCCAGCCACAAGCAACCATGGTTATCTTGTCACCCTACAAAATTTACAGTTATGATGACATATATTGATAACATGGTATATGTGCATTTAGATTTTAGACATGCCCTCTCAAAATAGTCACTGTCAAACTTGATACCAAAGGAGTTTACAACACACACCCTATTTAATCAACTGAGTTAGATTCCATGATAGTATGGTTATATGTCTAAAAATGCATGACATCAAAAAATAATATGAAATGAAACCCATTTAAGTATAAATAAATAAATTTATGAGGACATACATCAACAGTCACTTTCTCTGGGAGCAAGCGATCGTTTCTGTCACCCAATCCCAAGTTTCCATATCGGCCCCAGCCCCATCCATACAAATTCCCGTCTTCAGTGATTGCTACACTATGTTCAGCACCAGCAGCAACCATTTTGATAGGTATTCCCTACAACAATGCAAAAGTTCATGTGTCCAAGTATAGTTAAGGGAATATAATTTGTTTGATGCATCATGCATGTACTTTTTTGCTGTCCTATTAAAATATATAATGTCATGACATGATACTTCTCCTTCTAGTTTTGCACATTTTGATATAAAAGATATAGAGTATGTAAACAATTTGCCTCACTATATATAACTAATAGCACCAATCAGATAGAATGGTTTTGTCAGAACCTGTGAGAACTGCTCAATACTTTCTAGTTTCATAGAAGAAAGTAAATGACAAATTAAAAACAAATAAACTTAATTACTAAAAGTAATCTTCTGAATCCATCTCATTGAGTGCTGGTAACCGGGCCATTGAGTATCATTTATTATAGATAACTTAGATTTAGTTTTGAAAAGAGTACCTCAAATTTTTGAATTTTTTGTGGCAGAAGAGAGTCCTCTATAGTGCCAAGTCCAAGTTGGCCATTTTGATTACGCCCCCAACTTCAATCGTAACAGAAAATATATTACAACAATAGTTTAAGTTTAAAAAGTACAAATAATATGTAAAAAGCAAACATTGAGAAATTATTTGATATTCTCTGACTAATGCAGGACATGAGGAAAAATGGAAAGGAACAGAAGTTCTCTGCCATGTAAAGAAGACACATATCACGCAATAGATCACACAGGAAATGAGAATAAAACAACATTTTTCTTTCTTCTGAAACAGAAGACCTTTAGATAGCACTTACATCTGGGGTTATGTTACAAAGAAAAAATATGTAACTTCCGTTTAGCCTTGCAGAATAACTAAAGCAATTTCTATATTGACATATATCTCTAAAATGGAATGGTAAATTAGAAGGTGTATTCAGGATATACAAGAGTTCAAACTGAACTACAAGCATACATGTACCCTGGACAAGGTAGCGAAGCTAATTCATAAAAGGAGAACTTGGGTATGAAATGCTTTAACTTTATCAGTTACTTGTGTAGGAAGTATACAACTCAACAAGAGTGTGTCCCCAAAAATCAAAAGAACATTATAAGGCAACCTCTTAATGCTTCAATTAATGTCAACGATCCTCTTCAAATTGAGTTACAAAGTGAATCTTTGGGAATAGCTATTAGCATTAGATTTCATCTTAAAATCAACCCAATATCATTTTAGATTGTTAGGTACAGCTGCGTACAGCTGCCACCACCTTTCGGAATATTAAAAAAGAGAGCACAAATGGTACTCCAACTTATATACAAAGTTAAGGCAACTGTTAAATACATATCAATGACTCATTTAACCAATTTATGTATACTAGTTGTCCTTCATTCAAACCCGCTGGCAACCATTTCCATGACCTATATTTGATAGCATCTATAATCTCTCCAACATTTACTAACACATTGTTAAAGACAATGTTATTTCTATGTAACCAAATACCCCATATCACACCTACTCAGATAGTTACTACATACCTCCACTTCTTTTTCCCACCCACAAAACCACACATATCCAATAAGAGATCCTCTAAACACTTTGACATACATGAAGAGAGACCCAACCAATACCAAATCGAATACCATATACCGCTCGAAATAGAACAATGCAAGAATAAGTGTTTCACCTCTTAGTCTTCATGATTACATAGGGCACAAGATTCATTTAAGAATAACATACCACGTTTCACAAACCCCTTACGTACCGACAAAACTTGTAATAATAATTGTCAAGAGAACACACTGACCTTTTTGAGAACCAGTACCTTCCACATGACGCAATGCCAAAACCACACCATTATTAACAGCAAAGCTTTTTTAAAAAATATCTTATAATTAACATAAACAATTTTTAATTAAACTTTCCTTATCTTTCCACTATTTAAACCCATTACCCAAACCGGAACCGTTACCATAACCAAACAAAACAAAACAAAACGGTATCCATCATCAGATATTACTTCGCAGCAAATCAAGAAACCCAACCCTTAGACGTGTCAACCACCTCCACGACCATTTCTTATCGTTAACATATACTTCCATTTCTTTTTTCTTCTATCAAAGTGAGATAATTATTGATTTTGTGTCGTATCTTTTGTAGGAACAAGAAAAAAAGCATGGCCAAACAAGGCCTTAAGAAGGTATATGTTAACGATGAGTAATGTATTCTTACATGCTTCAAATAATCAGGTCACCTTTTAATTAGTGATTTAATTATCTTAATTGCTTGCTAGTTGCCACAGTATCAGAATTTCTTCAGCTTTGGTGCAGTGCTTTTATTTTCTATCAGATTGTGAAGTTATAGGAATTGAACTATAGCAAACATATGAATATGATTACAAGATCCTGCATTAATTCACCATCCAATGATCCAATATTTATTAAGCTTATACTTTATTTAATTTGTTAATTAATGTATGAAAATAGAATTAACTGTAGGAACTTTCTTTGCATCCTCTCTCAAAATTTCTCTAGTACTAATATATATCATGCGGAGAATTAATGTTCCATGCCATATTATCAAAAGATCATACAGTAGCCAATACACAACCAACATAACGATTCATCATAACAAAAGTGATAGATGCACCAAATCTAATTCATAATTAACACTCTCACACAACAGCTCCTTCTTTGTGCATGTTGCTCTACACCATTCATTCCCTTGAACTCATAATCAACTATTGCGCTTGACATCACTTTCAGGGACACTGGTATCATGCTTATTATATCCCTCTTCTGAAGTAGTAGGTTGTGACCCCGAGGGCTGCCACAGCATATCAAGTTGTGTTATCAACTTCTCTTGTGTTTGAAAGAGTTTATATTCAACCAGAGACCAAACATGAGCCAAGTCACCAAACACATGCTTTTCTAAGTTTCTCATCAATATTTATCTATCTCTCTGACAGTGTCAAATGACATTGTAAAAAATCTTCTACTTGTCAACTGATTAAAATTTAGTTTGATATGGTTTCTCATGCAGTTATTCAAAAATTCAACAACTTTTAATTATATGGTAATTTATAATGAAATTAATGCGGGAAATATTTAATTAAATTCTATGCTATCTCTCACTTATCATATAAAAAAATCTAACTATCCCTCAACTCTGCTAATTATGAGTAATAAATATCAAAACAAGACAAACTTACAGTTTCATCCGGAACAATTGCATATCTCTCTGATATAGAGGACGAAGATTTCCCTTTTTAAGGCAAAAAAACAGAACATCCAGAACCAGGCATGTTGAATTAATTTAAGGGGAAAAAAACTGATTCTAAATTACAAATCAAATGGTATACACCAGTAAGAAAAGGAAAACATAAAAAATGAACCAATTAATAAGAGCACCTGATAATGGATAAGGTTTTGAGGATTCTATGTGCTGCCTCGAAGATCCATCAACACTGAAGGCTTCAATAATCGTTGGAACATTCCTATAAATCCCAAAAGGATCACATTATTATTGAAGCCTTGAAATGCATCCATTACATAAGACTAATTTTAATTAGGGTAGCAATTCTAGAAATTCATAAGTTAATTTATAGAATTTTTTTTATAGAAAAAATATTTTTAACTTATTTATAAGTTAATTTTAATTCATGTAAAAATTTCTTTTATTTTTTTTTTAAATTTTTTTTCCCAAAAGTATTTTATGGAAAAATTTATCCCAAAACACGCCTAAATATAATTTGCGAATGCAATTACCGGTCTATGGTTATTCCATTCCCAAGTTGTCCATTTGCTCCTCTTCCCCATGAATATACATTATCACGTTCAGTAATAGCAATGGTGTGTCTCCACCCGCATGAGATCTGACGTACTTTCTACAAAGCCAAATAAATGTTTGGAGAAATAAAAAAATTAAAATAAGGGGTCATTTTTATATATAGAAGAAAAGGAAAGAAAGGGTGTTAATTACAGTTTCAAATACCTGATCACGGGGAAAGTTCACTTGCACGGGAGAGCAATAATCTAAATTGTTACCTACTCCAATCTGTCCGAACTACATACAATTGAAGGATAAACACGTTAAAATTCATCAAACAGATGCAAGTATCAAAGCAACGTAATCATTGAGCTGATTAATATCCACTGGAAACCATAAACATACATAAAGTATAAAGTGAGTATTTTCTTCTCGATCTAATCTATACTCAGCTCCATGATTCTAGGATTTCATTCTTGAACAACTTAAAAAAACATAAACGGCTAGTTGCTGCTCATAAGCATTTGATGTTATATTATGATTATGATACAAAAAAAATTGATGACAATAGAAGAATAATAAAAAGTACTACCAACCTTATTCCAACCCCAGCCCAAAAGTTGTCCACTAGATGTGAGTACCATACTATGCCTCCACCCACCTGATACCTGAAACAAGTCCAGACAAAAGTAAGAGATAAATATGACAACTATAACCACTATACTTTGTACCCAAGCACATCACATCCTGTTTTCATGTCTTAGAGCGTAGGACAAGATTCTGTGACACCAAGTTTTGTTATCTTAATTAATTAGGATAAAACTTAAATTTAAGTGTTTTTGGTACTGTTTTTTTAAGTGAATTTGTTTCTAAAAGTAAAAAGTGAATCATACAGACCCTAGTTGTCAATGTCATCAACTAATTAAGCATGAATTTTAAAGAGCACCTGCGAAATGAACTTATCACTCAAGGCTTGAACCTTGCGTGGCACAAGATGATCCTCAAAATCTCCATGCCCTAGCTGGCCATATTTGCCCCATCCATTTGTGTATAATCCACCAGAAGATGAAACACATATCGTATGCCTCCAGCCACAAGCAACCATGGTTATCTTGTCACCCTACAAAATTTACAGTTATGATGACATATATTGATAACATGGTATATGTGCATTTAGATTTTAGACATGCCCTCTCAAAATAGTCACTGTCAAACTTGATACCAAAGGAGTTTACAACACACACCCTATTTAATCAACTGAGTTAGATTCCATGATAGTATGGTTATATGTCTAAAAATGCATGACATCAAAAAATAATATGAAATGAAACCCATTTAAGTATAAATAAATAAATTTATGAGGACATACATCAACAGTCACTTTCTCTGGGAGCAAGCGATCGTTTCTGTCACCCAATCCCAAGTTTCCATATCGGCCCCAGCCCCATCCATACAAATTCCCGTCTTCAGTGATTGCTACACTATGTTCAGCACCAGCAGCAACCATTTTGATAGGTATTCCCTACAACAATGCAAAAGTTCATGTGTCCAAGTATAGTTAAGGGAATATAATTTGTTTGATGCATCATGCATGTACTTTTTTGCTGTCCTATTAAAATATATAATGTCATGACATGATACTTCTCCTTCTAGTTTTGCACATTTTGATATAAAAGATATAGAGTATGTAAACAATTTGCCTCACTATATATAACTAATAGCACCAATCAGATAGAATGGTTTTGTCAGATTTATCCTTTCCATGCTATTATTGAGTAACATCTTTGTTGCAAATGCATTTTGTTTGTTAAGGGTTGATGGATGAGGCCTAGAATGGATATTTAGAGGGAGAAGAGAAACAAAAGAGTGTTATGGCATTTAAAATAGTACTTTCAATTTACACGTGCCCCTTTAACAAAGCTCGAAGGCCCGGGCATGCCCCGAGTTCGTGATTCGTACACAGAGAGATAGACAAAGGTTGCCCCCTAGAAAGTCATGGATGATTTGATAATTTCAAAAAGACTGTTCCGCTTGATTGGACGTCGGTGTTTCGAACTGGGAGTGAAATCTTTATGAATTCTTGCGTTCGAAGGGAATACTCGAGCCACCTTTCGATTTTAACTCAGAGAGACATTTTTATATATCCCTAACTTTTGCATAGGACGTATCCTATCGGGATTTTAATTCTTTTTTTCTTTTACCCTAATTTTTGCCTAGGACGCCCTTTACGGGTTTTCATCCTAACGGGTTTTCGTCGCGCAATGTCTTTATTTCTCAATTGGATTTTGTCTTGTGATTCCCTAGAAGCAAGGATTCGTCCATTCTTGAGCATTCCTCCTATCCCGACAATTTTCATTTCATCATGGGAAAGTCTCGCTGTTTGAATCGTCGATTTGGGCGTGTGATGCCCCTAATTACTGATAAGTGTTTCCCGATTTGATGTATCAGGTTCGAATTTGATTACAGTAATTTCCATTATCCGGCTAACACCCACAAATTAAATTTCCCTTTTTAGATTTCATCTAAAAATCAGTTGAAATTTAGTGAAGTTGTGGAATAGTTATATAAGTTGCACTTCAAGAATTGAGACACAGACAATGTGAGACCTTCTAAGAATTGGTACATCGGAAAAAGAAAGGTTAGAATGGAAAAAAGACAGAATAACTACAAACCTCAGCATGTGTCTGTCCATAGTAACTGCCAAACAATGACTGTCCCCACAAGCAATTTGTTGTATCTTCAGACCCTGCAATGCTTTAATGGGATGAGGAATGAGCATGTCACTGTGATCACCATGACCCAACCTTCCAAAGTCACCCCTGGAGAGCCATAATATGATCTGCTTGAGAACTTAAGATATCACAGTCACTAATATGACAGGTAAATCACATTTCAAAAAACTCCTTTCGATATCACTCAAATCAAATTAGTGGTTCAATTTTCATATTAAAATATCGTTGATTCGTACGTCAAACTTACTCTTCGAGGTAACAAGGTCAACCACACCACCTTCATGATGTAATGAACTAAACATTTTTATACATGTCATTGATTAATGCATACTAACTAATTAGCCAACTAACCAAGCCATTACTTACTTGAAGCTTAATCCAACACAAAATCAGAACACACATATACTTGTGTCTTCCCATTCTAAATCAAGAGCCAAAGTAATAAGATTTCAATCATGGAAAAACGCACTAGCCAAAAGATAGTTAAGATGGAGAGCATATATAGTACCATCCCCAACTATATACATCCTTGCCAAACTCAGAACATGCCATAGTATGATCAGCCCCACAAGTAACACATATTATGTCTTGACCATCCAGTGCACTCAGTTTTGTGGGTAATAGTCGATCATCAGTGTCACCATGGCCTAACTGTCCATCCTCACCTCTTCCCCATGAGCAAACAACATTTCCACCTGTTAAAAGGATCAAAGTAAAGAAGAAGAAAAATGAAAGAAACTAAACTATGAAAGCCACTAAAGTTCAACAAGACAGATGAATAAAGTTAATAAGAGTAGCTAGCTATGGACATGGATATGAAGATGAAAAAGAAGAGTTGAAGTATGAACTAGAAAATTTTGCATTTATTTAATAGAGACCCAGATTAAAATATCATACGGTGAACTTCTCATTTAGCCACACTCCAGGAGTTAAGACCATGCCAATATCAAACGTTGGATCATGCAAATGCAGACATGAAGCATACATAAACCAAATAAAAATAAATAAATAATTTTTTGCGGATTGGGACCACAGGGAACAAAGTCCTGACGCCAGAAACAAAAATGGTGGGTTACGTGGGGAACTTCAGCTTGAGGCAGAGAAAGCATATAAAACATAACAAAACATCAAAAACTTGCAACATAAATCCATCACCCATCTCAGAAAACTCCAATATAAAAACTTCATTCAGCACAGTAATAACAACAATCAATCATAAACAAAAAAGAGAAGTGAGCCAGCACTGATATTGATGCTTACTCAAAAGTGCCACACTGTGGCTAGCACCAGCCGATACAAGAATCACACGACGAGGTGGAGCATCCACTTCACTCATCTCCTCTTCCATCACCATCTCTATAGCCTATAAAAGTTGCTCTACTCAGTTTCAGTGGAAGAAGTTGACAAGCGTGCTTCTTTTATACCACCAGCAAAATAGAAAGAAGCATCTACAGAAGCATTGAATAAATAAAAGAGCCAACTTCATACCAAACAAAAGGGTAGGTGAAGGATTAACGTGTTCAGGTAGATCATTTAAGAATCTTTCTGTTGCTAAATTTTAATTCCTCACCAAATTATCTGTCAATACGTAACTATCTGTTACTAATATCTATTAATCACTTTGAAAAATTAATGTATTATATTATATTACAATCTGTCGATGTCTTATAACACAAATAAATAAAAGTTAATCACTTATATATTATTGGTATAAAAAAAATTTATACGGTAAATTAATCATATTTTTTAATAATATCATGTTAGTTGCTCATTTAATAAAATAAAATTATTTAAAAGATATGATTAATTGTTAATATAAAAAATTTTACTGACATATATAAATAATTAACTCAATAAATACAAAAATAATAAACGTTCTTCACGTTGGTCTGATTGATAGTCACATGTGAAGTGTATCAGAAAAAAAAAAAAAAAAAAAAAAAAGA